GCACCTCTACGCGGTGAGTGATCCCCTTTACCCGATGATGTTTGGTTAGCGAGTGAGCCACTAGTAGTTCCAGCAGAGGCGAGTTACTTCTGGCGGAGGGTCTTTTCTTGTCGTTTATCCCGAATGATGCTTGGTGACAAGTGCACCACCGTCAAGCGGCAGTAAACCGAGTGGTCTAGCTGCCAGGTTTTCTCTTTTTCCTTTTCTTTCGTTCCCCGGATGAAGTTTGGTTAGTGAGTGCGCCACTGGCAAGTGCCAGCAGAGAAAAGTGTCTCTGGCTGACGGGCGGTTTGTGTTTGTTGTTGTCCAAGTGGGCAATAACCACAAAGCTGCGGGGAGGTTGTCTGGGTATGTCCTGGACACCTCTCCGCGGTAACCTGCAAAGGAAACCTTGTTCCATTTCATGGAGTGTTAACAGTTAACGCGTGGTTCCCTACGGTCTGCCGGGGTGTCAACGTTAACGAACATGGCACGAACCACCTCAGTCCCGTCCTGGCATCGTGGCTTGCCCATGCTGGACGACATCTGAGAAGGTCTCGGTAGATGCTGTAGAGAGAACCTCATGAGCATCAAGAGACGTCCGCAACTGGGGGTGTTCATAGCTGGCGAATGTTCGGAAGGATGTTCAACACTGTCCTCCGTCATCTTCTGGTTCAGATTTGTTCCTTTCTTTTTCTCTTCTCCTTTTTTCTTTTCTTTTCTTTCTGTCTCCTGCTTTCCGCTTTTTTTTTTCGCTTTTCTTTTCTGCTTCCCGTTTTCTGCTTGATGTTTTGGTAGGTCCCTTTTCCTCTTGTATCTGATTCCTCGAAATCTGCTAAAATCAATGACAGTTTGTCTTCAACTTCCCATCCAACATGGAAGAAGCCAGGTTGGGTAGTTCGGCTGCCGCGTCTTTTCGATGATCCCATCCTGGCTTTGGCGTTTGCTTTTCCAAAGCACCGCCGGTGACGAAAACATGGCGGACCGCTTCGTCGCCGCAGCGATAGGGTGGAACCAGTGCCCCGGTGCGCCTGGGAAAAACTCTCTTCCATGCTCTCGTCCCTGGCACCCAGTACTGCTTGCTCCATCGTGTATGGATCCTTCACGTTTTCTTTTGTTTGCGCTCAAATTGAAGGATCCATACACTTCACGTTTTCTTTTGTTCGCGCTCGCCTCCTTTTCCTTCCCTTGATTCATAACAACGGGGGGCCGCCAATGATGAGTTCACCAAGAGACCGACGAGGGATTGACCAAGACGACGCATATGACTGAGGCGGTTACGCGGTACCTCGGAGAGCAAGCAGTACAGCCCTGAAAGTGCAGACTTAGGGGTCAAGTGAGAGTGGTTCTATGAGGGGACGGATAATGCAATCGATGATGAATGACCGCTTGCGTCGTCGATCTGAGATTATACGTGGGACTGGGGGCTCTGTTCATTCAGGAGGGAATAACATGACAAAGAAGGAGGATGCGACCTGTGATGAGACGTTCTTGTCTCTGAAGTACAATGCGGGTTGCAACACTTGTGTTCTCTTGCGTGCTCAAGGTGAGGTTGTCAGCGATCTGAGGTCATGCCAATACCTTTGTTCAGCATGGAGGGCGGGTTGAGTTGAAGCAACTTGAAGGTGGCGGTACGACTGCTTCAAAAGAGCCATGCTCTCTAAGCATGGGCGACAGGAGGTATAGTGGCTGGTTTTCTTTCTTTCCTAGCTCCTTGATCATGATGATTTAAATATCTGAAGAAGCAAAGTTATGTGGACGTATCAAATATCGCAAATGACAATTACTACACCAGTCTGAATCGCTTGAACTTT